AAGTAGGGTGTTGGAGTACATGATGGTTATATGTTATATACATGTCCCAACTCGGTTCCGAAGCTGCACTATCTAAGAGCTCAGGCTTTTCATCTGGCCATCCGCATCTGCTGCGTACGCTTGGAGCTGACCGAGGCCTTAAGTGTCGCCATGGTGGTAATATAAGGGCCTTAATAATTAGAGTAGGTTTTTGGGGCCGAATATATTATCATTATAATAAGGAGCCCCCTCAAAATAGTAACTATTTAGGCCCCTACATTATTGGAATTGGACGCTCATGTTCCGGGTTCTTCAGCTACAAAGCCGCACCTCATCTGTACCTAATCTAGCAGTCCTTACGTTGCGATCCTACTCGTGGCGCAAACTCACATTTCGAACAACACAGCGGGTCGATCTGGGTTGGCAAGGATGACGAGATCAGACAAAGATCTCGTGACCACATGAGACCCTGGCAGCCAGCGGAATATTGGGTTTTCACGCATGGGGCACGAGATACAGAAAGACATGAGGAGCTTCGCTAGACCTCATTGGTTTCAGCCTTCCACACATTTCATTGTGCGACCCTTGGGGTCCATTTCGAAGCCATCAGTCCCGTGCCTGCGACATCCTGCGCCAGCCAGCAAAGGTCCTGAAATTTCCACACGCACAAGGGTGTGTGCTTGACCCACCTGGTGGGGAGGCATTCCTCAACCTTCGCGGTCTAAACTAGATCACGTCCCGTAAGTAAACCCTAAACTTGCCCTAAACCCTAAACCCTAAACCCTAAACCTAAGCTTTTGAAGCGCCGGCGAAGGCTAAGCGGCTGGCAGCTCGCGGACATCGGGCTGCTCTTGCAGCCGGAGCCCTCCCGAGCGCTTATACCTTAAAGGCTAAGCCCCTTCCTGAATAGGGTTTAGGGTTTAGGGTTTAGGACGAAATGACCCTTAAAAGTAGGGGAACTTATATACCCTTATACCTATGAACCCCTATATGGTATATGAACATGAACCTTAAACCCTTTTTTGGGGTTCATCTCGTCCTTAAGGTATGAGTTAGGACATGTGGGGACGGAGGTGTTCAGTTTGGCAGTCGGATCGCAGCCCTAGGCATTTCGAGAGTGGGAAGGGCTTCTTGTTTAGGGTTTAGGGTTTTGATTCGAGCGCTCAGCCTGCGAAGCTCGCCGCAGATAGCGACAGATTTCGAGGCTTGTTTAATTACTTTAGAAATAAATTAGAGGTGATGATGATCACTATGATCGGTGTTGCTATTTTTATTGGCATAACCGTCACTGTTTCAATCATTGTTTTATATGAGTAGTACTATTCTATTTGCCTCCACCTGCTGGAAATGCAGCAGAGGCAGCGAAGCGAGTCGAGCTGAGAGCCTGCCCCCGAGGAGATTCCGTCCGAGCAAGCCATTTCTCCGCTCTCCGGCGTTGCGCACCCGGGCCTGGCTAAGGTTTAGGGGTTTCAGGGTTTAGGGCCTTTAGGGTGAAAGGGGCTTTGGGTTTCAGGGTTTCGGAGGTTTAGGTGCTCTGGGGGTTTAGGGTTTAGTAGCTTTTGGGGTTTAGGGTTTTAGGGTTTATGGGGTTTAGGTTCTAGGCTCCGGACAGGAAGGTCTGAGGTCGGCAGGCGACACAGGGAGAGTGAGGATTCAGGGATGTGTCACCTTGTAGCTTGACAAGCCAAACCACGGTTTAGGGTTTAGGGCTATCAGTCCGGTCGAGGTCTGACAAGGCCGTTGCAAAAGGGTTTAGGGTTTAAATCTACACCTATGCATGGAGGAAGAGAGAAATAAAGAAAAGAGAAGACGTAACCAGAGGGTAAGACAGCCGGCGGCGCATCAACGTTGTATATGCCCGTCTTGTAAGCTGACGTAGTGGGCCTGGAACCTCTGGACACAACTTGAGAAAGCTCCCGTTCACTCAGGCTCATGTGGTTCACTATGGTCTGGACCGTGCGCAAACTGCTTTGTTGGCATCTGGGATCTTCATGCGGGGTCTTGGGACAAGTCATTGCTCGTTTCAATCACGGGTTCCGTCCAAGAGTCCAAGCGCTAGTCCCGTTTGCTGAAGCTTCCGTAACAGGCCCAAAACCTATTTTCAGCTGCCGAGTGCGTGAAAGAAGTGCATTTTGAGCTACTTTGTGTTCTGGATGGGTGGTTTTGCGGGGTGTGGAAAGTGGTTCTTGCTTCACAGCGGCGGGGAGATGCCTCAGTAAAACATCCCTGCATCCCTGAATCTTAAATTGGCCCTACACCATAAGCCCAAGGCGCTCAGCCCACGTGTAGAAGAAGGTCCACCTGTACAGCGCCTGGCACAAGCACTTCTATACGCCAGCCCCAACCCTAAACCCTAAAAAGCGGTAAGTTTCCTCTCACAACTGGAAGCCTAAACCCTACAAGCCCTATGAACCCTGACCCCTAAACCCTATATAAAGTTAGTGGATACCATTTCCATTTTCAACCATGCCCATCCCCCTAGCACCCAAACCATAACAACCTATACCCCAACCCTAACACCACCCAAGACCCATAGGTAGAACCCTAGGAAAAACCACCTGAAGACCCAAAACCATAACAACCTACACCCCAATGCCCACAAGATGGAACCATTAGAAGACCCATACACNNAAAACTCCACCCTAAACCCCATACACCACTACTCCCATGGAAAAATCCATATTCGCAACCCGAAATCCCTAACCCTAGAAAATGGAAATGGTATTCTCTAATAATTTCTCTATATTAGTAATAAGGTTTGGAGATAAGGTAATATACTTGTAGCATAGCCTTAGCTACTTGTCTAAATTCCCTTTTCAGCTTCAACCGCACCCTCTCTGGAGCATTTCCTCCTGCATCCACCTTTCGGCCCATGAAAGCTGGCCTGGCATTTGCTTTTTTCTTTATTGCACAGACGGCGCTATTCCAGTCCTTTCTTGCGGTGCGCCCTGGCTCCTGGTGCGTTCGCACACGGGGTCAGTCACATTTCGCGGGGCCAAGCAAACGTTCCGGAGATGGTCGGGTTTGCAACGGTTGTGTAGTGAGGAAGAGTGTATTCAGCTTCAGCGGACATCTGCAGCGTGGTTTGCAAGCAGATTTCGAACCAGTCTCAGCAAGTCTCAGTGGGCACTGATCATACGTGTGCTGTGCGGTCAAATGGTCAGCTCGTCTGCTTTGGAGACAATCAATCTGGGCAGAGTGACGTCCCAGCAGATTTGGGACCAGTTTTGGCAGTCTCAGCAGGCGGTTACCATACTTGTGCGGTGCGGGCAGATGGTCAGCCCGTCTGCTTTGGAGGCAAGGGTTATGGGCAGTGTGACGTCCCAGCAGATTTGGGACCAGTTTCGGCAGTCTCAGCGGCCGGTCATCATACTTGTGCAGTGCGGTCAAGTGGTCAGCTCGTCTGCTTTGGAAAAAATGGTGATGGGCAGTGTGACATCCCAGCAGATTTGGGACCAGTTTTGGCAGTCGCAGCGGGCTGTGATCGTACTTGTGCAATACGGTCAGATGGTCAAGTCGTCTGCTTTTCTGATTTGCGGTTGGACGTCCCAGCAGATTTAGGACCAGTTTTGGCGATCTCAACAGGCATCAGTCATGCTTGTGCAGTGCGGTCAAATGGTCGGCTCGTTTGCTTTGGATACAATCGTGATGGGCAGTGTGACGTCCCAGCAGATTTGGGACCAGTTTTGGCAGTCGCAGCGGGCAGTGATCATACTTGTGCAGTGCGGTCAAATGGTCAGCTCGTCTGCTTTGGACGCAATGGTTATGGGCAGTGTGACGTCCCAGCAGATTTGGGACTAGTTTTGGCAGTCTCAGCAGGCCTTCATCATACTTGTGCAGTGCGGGCAGATGGTCAGCTCGTCTGCTTTGGAAACAATCTTTCTGGGCAGTGTGACGTCCCACGAAATTTGGAGCCAGTTTAGTGGGTCATTGTCATACTTGAGTGGCGCAGAGGCGGCAGATGGCCAGCTTGTCTGCTTGGAGACAACTTTTATGGGAAGAGTCATGTGCCCAACCGGTGATCGTGAAGAAAGTAGCGTGTCCTTACCCTCAAACCTTCAGTAGTTCAAATCTCAGATACTGTCTATTATTGCCCTCAACTCTATAACAATTTTGACCTAACTTATTTTCAATATTTTCTATTGTATAATTTTTCTGTGACCAGTTGCTCACCCTTTCTTTTTCATTTGGCTTGCGCTTCCTAAATATCTTCACTTCGTCCCCTACATCTAGTTCGGGATATACACGGTTCTTTTTGCCCTTCATCGCTAATTTTTTTCACTTTGAACTGATTACTGGGTTTTCTGGCTTCCTTCGGCGTAAATCCCGTGGCCGAGTGCTTCATTTGATTATTACAGGTTAATAATATTTCTAATATGTAGTCCGTCCATTGGATGTTTTGTTTTCCTTTGTTCTCATCCGCTTCAACTCTCCTATACAACACATCTTGAAAGGCGCGGATGGCTCTTTCACTAAAATTTGGGTGCGCCCTCGTTCTATGATGTT